TTATGAGTATAAATATACAACTGATTTCAAACGTTTTTTGGGTATAAACCTACAATTGACTTGACATATACAATATCAAATATATTTTTTTGATAAGATTAATGAAGACATTTTTAAAAAGAAAACGTCTTGAATCATCCCTAACAAAATGTTATTGAAGGGATTTTTAACCAAAATTGCCATCAATAATCCCACCTAAAAATATATTGTGTGAAATATTAAATGCGTTTTGGAAAAAAAACGCCTTCAAGAATCATACCAAATATTGTATACGGATTATTGAAGGCATTTTTTAAAAAAATTACCTTCAATAATCTCTGTTAAAAATTTATTTATTGGATTATTGAATGTGCTTTCACCCAAAAACACCTTCAAGAATCCGTTCCATATTTTTCCTATGGATTATTAGCAAGAAAACGCCTTGAATAATCCATAACAAAATGTTATTGAAGGTGTTTTTTTACCAAAATCGCCTTCAATAATCTCACTTAAAATTTTATTGTAGGCAAAAAACGCTTTCAAGAATCTGTTTTCAACTTTTTTGTATAGATTATTGAAGGCGTTTTAAAAAAAATTACCTTTAATAATACCAACTAAAAATTAATTGCATGGATTATTAAAGACGTTTTCCTATCGGTAATGCCTTGAATAATCCCTAACAAAATGTTATTGTAGGCGTTTTTGGAAAAAATCACATTCAATAATCCAACAATTCAAATTTATTGTCTGAAATATTAAAGGCATTTTGAGCAAAAAACGCCTTCAAGAATCCGTTCCAACTTTTGTCTATGGATTATTGAAGGCATTTTTGACAAAAAGCACCTTTAATAATCTTAACTAAAAATTTATTGATTAGATTATAGAAGGCGAGTTCGACCAAAAATGCCTTCAAAAATCGGTTTCATATTTTTTCTATGGATTATTAAAGGTGTTTCTCTGCAAAAAATGCCATCAATATTCTCTCCAAAATTTTTTAAAGCAATTGATGAAGGTGTTTTTGCTAAGAAAATGCATAGAATAATCAATTATAAATAATCTCTGCAAAAACCCAAAAAAGCTAAAGGGAGGGATCGAATCTACCACATTATGGTTAATATTCATATGATCCTAAAATTTTGATATGATATTTATTGAAGGCGTTTTTGACCAAAAACGCCTTGAAATTTTTTGGTGAAATTATTGAAGGTGTTTCTTGTAGAAAACGTCTTCAATAATCGCATACATTTTTTTATGAGGGGATTATTGAAGGCGTTGTCTGTCAAAAATGCCTTCAGTAATTTTTTATTAATTTTTTTAACGAAATTATTTAAGGCATTTTCTGCTAAAAACGCCTTTAGTATTCACTCAAATTTTTAAGACAGGATTATTCAAGGCATTTTAGTCGAGAAATGCCGTTAATATCAAGTCTTGGGTGCCGTTTATAAGTAATGATGCCGCTATTTGAATATTTAATGATGTTTTGATAATAAAAGCTTTAAAATTTATAAAAACACAGAAACTAGTAGCATTTGTAAGTGAAACGCGACTATAAAACTGTCACTAATCCTCTATTTTCTTGTAGTGAAAAGAGAATTTTAACTAATGTAAGCTGATGTAAGCTAAACCAACTGATTTAAGTTTCAAGTCTTGTTACTTTAAACTTTCAAAACTCGCCCCCAACACCAATCGACTTTTGGCTATTAACATTGTTTCCGCCATATTCTCTTATTCCCCTTGCCTTTTGGGTGATCCAACAGTAGGCTACAGAAGTTTTGCTTGCAAAAAAATTTAAACTGAATATATAAATGAGAAGTAAGAAAAGTTGTCTGCTAAATTTTATTATTGTTGTTATTATTCTTTTATAATGAGTTCAGATGAAACTTTAGGTGACAAATCAAAAAGTAGAAATATTAGTGAAGATATCTAACAAAAAAAAAAACAACATTGTAAATTTTCAGTTGTTCACTGGACCTCTATGGGGTTAGTTAGAGACTGATGAAGCAACGTGATAAAAATATCCAATTGTGATGAAAACATGTTATCCAAACATTCCAGTGGCGCGATTTGACTCTCAAAACTTGTCTTACCACATGTGCTTTTCAATCCAAAATGAGGCCTAAGGTTGGATTTGGACGTCACTGGAGTCACTCTTCAATGTGATTATCATGGTTTTTTGTACAATCGTGTCGTAATAAGATGTTTGGGTAACAATTATAGTGCGATTATTGCAAAAAATTCAGTAAAAGTTTTTTTGCCTACTGCAGTTTTTTTTTTCAATATTATCCTAATTTTTTAATTTTTTCTACCTCTTTAACCTTTAAAATTATAATAATAGATAAATATATCTTTACACTTATATACCTGTATATTTGTGGATAAATATACTATTATTACTTTTTCACAAATTTATAATTTGATAAAAAATAATTTTATTAATTTTTAATTATTTGTTACATTTATAAATATCAAATATATTATAAAATTTATTAATATAATTTTAATCTAATGTCTTTAATAATATTTTTTTTATTTTTATTATATTTCACCCAATTGCTATTACTACTTTTACATCCAAACACATCTCATCATTGACCAATCTCATTGCTATAGTAATTAATCTTACATCTATCATTTTTTTTAATCTCATCGAAATTGATCTCATCGTCCATTTAAATGAACCCTAAATATTAGATTTTTGCTATTGCTGAAAAAAAAAGGATTCGGTGTTGCCAAGCTTAGCAACCCACATGTAACAGCCACTCTTCCCATAAATGATAAAGCACGGGCTCTTTCCTGATACATATATAGCAATTTATGTATTTTATATTGTGTAAAATATTAATTATTTATATATTTATATCATGTTTTATAAAAAAATTACGTATCATAATTAACATTTATACAAAAATATAAAATATATTTTTTTTATTTTATTAAACTCATATTTTATTAAACTCAAATATATACGTAATTAATTAATGTCTAAAATTTTAAATCACCACTTTTGTATTTCTTTTTCATATCATTTTTGTATTATATCATCGTATTATATTTTAAATTATTAGATTTAATTCTTGAAATGTTTTGGTTTTTGGTACATTTTTTTAGTTATTAAAATATTGTATCCTACATAGATATCTTCATCAAAGTAAATAAAGTACATGTTGAAGCAATTTCTCCTATTTTAAGACTTATTTTGTTTCACAGAAAAAAAAAAAAAAAAACGAGGCTATATCTCATCATTCTTTGTATATTTATCTTTGATTTATTCTCAACTACTAAGATTCTATCAATTTTTATGATCTTCTCTTGCATCTTGAAGCTCTTGTCAAGGTTTGTTTGTTTGGCTCAATTTCTATTGGGTTTTGGAAAAAAAAAAATTCACGTTTGACCCTTTTTCTTCAAGACTAACTATCAAACAAACACCTTAATCTTAAGATTTAAACCTTAAAAAGATCAATGAGTTAAAATGAATACAACACAAATTTGAGGCATCTAACTGTTAAAGTAACATTGGAACCCATTGTTGTCATCGGTTTGGTGAGCTTTTCACTCACACGCCTGGCTGCAACTTGAGAATAAAAGAAATGACTATAAGTGTCGAAATTTGAACTTAATATATTAAATATCACCATTTAAAATAGCTACATGTACCAACTTAAATAAAATTCGAGCCAACACCTTTTGACAACTTTTTTTTTCTTTTTTAATGAATAGAAATGCACGTAAGTTTTAGATGTGGAAAAAAAATAAGTAAAAAGGAAAAGGAACTTGTTTCTTTTATAACTTGAATCTATTAAAATTAATAATTAAAAAAATATATTAAACTTTTTTTTCTACTAAATATGTGGTTATTATAATATTATAGGAATTTGGTGATTGTTTTGTTAGTTTTGGCCGCTATATTTGATTGGGAGATTTTAGTTATTTGCATTTAAAAATTTTAATAAATTTATTTTTTAAAATTTATTACTTTTTAATTTTTAAAATATTAATAAATTAATATTATTTTATTTTAAATAAATTTTAATAAATAAAAATAATTATTCTATAACAAAACAAAAATCACATTATTTGACATGAACCTTAAACCCTTTCCAAAATCTAAAGTGTTTCGAAGTTTGCCAAATCCATATTAAAAAAAAAAAAAAAGAGGGATATTAATATTGATTATCGACCTTAAATTTGACATGAATTCCAATTTCAGCTAACAAAAATCACACAATTTGCTCTGTATATTTACATAAAACTCCATCACCATAAATGCGGTGTCCCTTCATTCATTCACTCAACTTGCCCGCAATCTAATCAACGACACCTATTCAGTGATAACGAGTTTTTTCTTACATGCTACAAGTCAACCTAACTTTTTTCTTACAATTTTCCTTTAAAATATAATTTTTTAAGTGTATGCATCTTACTTGACATCTTATTTGGTAATATTAATAGTGATTTGATAATTTTAATAACTATCTGGCAATCTAACATTGCGTGTAATATACTGTCCAAATTACATTAAAAAAAGTCTTTATTTATTAATTTGAATAAATGATATTTTTATTTATTAAAATTGCAATAAAGGTCATAATTTGAGCAACTAATAAACTATGTGATGACTGGAAAAGACCTTTTATAGGTAAATTTGTGAAGTTTATGAAATTTTTTATTAAAAATGAGTAAAAAAAATAAAAATTAATAAATTGAAAATTTTTATTATATAGATCAAATGTATAAAATTTAAATTTTTTGTAATAAATTTAGATATATTTATTAATTAGATATTTTTAATAAAAATATTGATGAAAATTTTATCATTAAATAAGTATTAATTAAATTTAAATTATAAACAATATTTTTAATAATTTTTTTATATATTATTGATATTTACGTCGAATTCTATTAATCTATCAGTTTAAATTTTTTTATTAAAATTTTTATTTATTCAATTTTAATAAAAAATTTATGAACTTATAAAATTTTATGTAAATTTATCCTGTTATGACTTGTTGTTATTATGATTAGGATTATTACCTTTGCCATGATTATTTCTAATTGAATGATTTTAGATATTACAAATTGTTTATATATTCAGTCCATTAAATTATAACTTACTAAATAATTAAAATAACTAAGTTAAAAAATAATTGAACAACCGTAACAACGAATGAAAAGTAACCTTATTGAACGTACCCTTGTTTTACATTCCTTTATCAAATAAACGATACATTGGCTTAGCAAACAAATGATTAGCCCTTGGCAATGAGAGGCCAAACTTTTCGCTCATGTCCAGTTCATTAGGCAGCATCCCATCAGGCAACTCCCAGTGAAAGCAATGGACTAATTGAGCTACAACTAGACGCACAGTGAGTAGGCCTAACTGCAAACCAGGGCATCCTCTACGACCTGATCCAAACGGGATGAGTTGGAAATCATGTCCCCGAAGGTCTATGTTGCTACCAAGGAACCTTTCTGGAACAAATTCTTCAGCATTATCCGACCATACGTTTTGGTCTCTTGCCATGGACCAAGTATTTACCAGGATTAGTGACTTCTTTGGTATGAAATAACCATTAACAGTGACATCTTCCATGGACTCACGTGGAACTAGGAATGGTGCAACTGGATGCAACCTCAGGCTCTCTTTCACAACCATATCCAAGTATGTTAGTTTTGGTAGATCCGACTCTTCCACCATTCTATTCCTTCCCACAACGGTTTCTAGCTCTTGTTGGAGACCAATCATCACTCGGGGATGCCTTAGAAGCTCTGAAAATGTCCACTCAAGGGCTGTAGCTGAAGTGTCAAATGAAGCTGCAATCATGTCCAACATTATAGCCTTGATGTTTTTTCTGTCAGTTATGTATACTTGACCTTCATCACCGTGAGGGTTCATGGGTTTGTTCAACAATGAAACCATCACTTCAACGAAATCTCTATGAGGCTTTCGTTCATTGAGATTAGTCTCTTGTTCATGTTCATGGATAATTTTCTCAAAACATGTATCAATGGCCTTACTCGTCTTTTTGAGCCTTCGTGCAAATCCCTGTGCAGGGGATATATAGACCAAGTCAATCTTAATAATCTAAAACACAATACAATAATTCAAAACGAACATAATATTAATAAAAAACTCAATAGTAATATGATTTAAAATTTTAATAATAATTATATATAGATTTAATAAAATAAATATATATATTTTATATTTTTATATTGACACGAATTGAGATACATAAATTTGATGTAAAATATTGTCATAACGATTTTTCGTTCGGGGATTCAATCGCTAGATGTAAAGATCTAGAAATCACCATCAATCTCTTTTATTGAGGTGTGATTGGTCATCAGTCCTATTTTTGATTTACGCATTTGAGGTTGGATTCGAAAAGTACGATTATGTGTAAAAAATGTTATAGCACCCTTACAACGTCTGTCCAAAAATGGTATCAATTAATTTTATATGATCCTAGAATGATCTTGTTTGAATAATCTTTTGCCTATTTTTATTTTTTATTTTTATTATAAAATATTTTTTAATTTATTTCTGACACTTTCAGTATAACTTAAAATTTTTTCACCTCTAAAATATTCAAAGAAATCATTTATTTAATTGATGAAACTCCGTCGTTAGATTTATTTTATCATAATCTTCTTAAACCAACAATTTTGGTATGGTTTTAAAAAAATGGAAGAACATTACCACTTGTAATTCCCTCTTTATTTTATTATCGATGAAAGAATTTAATTTACTTAATAATATTTATTGATTGTTTATTTTATTATTGAAGTAAAATTTATTGGTTGAACTCCCAAAATTTTTCAACACTTTCGGACTATTTTGAGAAAATCTTTTGCTTAAGAAATTTTGATAAAGTCACAACTCGTGACTTTCATTCTTGTAAAACTTTATATATTTTGACAATTTAAACATTTTATTTTTATTATTTTCTTAAAAAGATTTTCAAAAATCTTACCAACACTTTTGGCAAAACTTTAAGAAAATATTTTTAAAGAATCACCACTTGTGATCTTATAAATATTGTTATTATTATTTTTTATCTTTTTTTTTCTATTTATATGATGTGAATATTATTATTATTATGAAAAATTCTAAAATATTTTCAACACTTTTGAAATTTTTTAGAGATTTTTTTGTGTGAAAAATCACCACTTGTGATTTTATATTTTTATTAATAATATTTATTATTATTATTTTTTATGCCTGAAGAATTCTAAAATATTTCTAACACTTTTAGAATATTTTAAAAAATTCTTTTGTGCAAATATTTTTAGTAAAATCACCACTTATGATTTTATTTTTATTTTATCATATTTTATTTATTTTTCATTATTTTATATCATTTATTTTATTTTTCTATCAAAAGTTTATAAAAAAATAAAATAAAAATAATAAAAAAATCATAAATTAAATAGTAGAAATATATAAAAAAATTTGAGCATAGAAAATAAACTGATAAAAAATTATGATAAAAATACCGAAAATGCCTCTGATCAACATGTGGTCAAAGAATGATTCAACAGCTCAGTCGACTAGTTCAAAGGTTCCGTAGCAATTTGACAGTCTAGATTTAGTTCAATTAGATCGATCAAATATTAAGAAATTCTGGATTTGGTACACGGATCCTAGGTCAGTTATCAAGTTGACGCGTGGATCATCTAAGTCCTAAATGATATTGTTTTAGTTTTGGCAACAACTATAAAAGCCTAATTTTTTTTTAAATTTTCTTTCTTCCTTCTCTCTTTCTACCTCATTTCCCTCAGACTTTCTCTCTCTAACTCCAATCGACTGCCTCTGTTCCCAGATTTCAACCAATCGTTCCGTGCCGACTGCCAATCATCGTCGATCACTATTGGTCGTCGATGGTCGAAAAATATTCAAAATCACCTAAAATATTTTTCTTAATCTCCTAAACACAAATCTAGCCTTCGTTTTACGGGAAACGAGCTTGAACGACGTAGATCAAGACCTAAAATTTTGGTCAAATTTTTTTTGTGTTTTTAGCCTTGTTGGTCCTTGTTTCTAGGGCCTGTTATTTCTGGGTTATTTGGTTTGGGATTTTGTTTTAATCCCATGTTTTTATTTGACAGAAATTTTTTTTTTTAAATCTGGTAGAACCTTTTTGAATCTTACCAACACTTTTGGCAAAAATTTAAGAAAATATTTTTAAAGAATCACCACTTGTGATCTTATAAATATTGTTATTATTATTTATCTTTTTTTTTCTATTTATATGATGTGAATATTATTATTATTATGAAAAATTCTAAAATATTTTGAACACTTTTGAAAATTTTCAAATTTTTTTGTGTGAAAAATCACCACTTGTGATTTTATATTTTTATTAATAATATTTTTTTTTTAATGCTCGAAGAATTCTAAAATATTTCTAACATTTTTGAAATATTTTAGAAAGTTCTTTTGTGCAAATATTTTTAGTAAAATCACCACTTATGATTTTATTTCTATTTTTTTTCATTTTTATTTATTTTTCATTATTTTTTCAATCATTTATTTTATTTTTCTATCAAAAGTTTATAAAAAATAAAGTAAAAATAACAAAAAAATCATAAATTAAATAGTAAAAATATATAAAAATTTTGAGCAAAAAAAATAAAAAGATAAAAAGTTATGACAAAAATATAAAAAATGCCTTTAGTCAACACTTGTCAAAAGATCGTTTAGTGGCTTAGTTAACAGGTTCAGCAGGTCCTCTACAGTTTGACAGTCCAGATCTGATTCAATTGGACTGATCAGAGGCTAAGGGATTCTGAGTCAAATGTATAAATCCCAGGTCAAGTCTCAAGTCGACGAGTGGATCTTCTAGGTCTTAAACAATGTCGTTTTTGGTCTTGGCAGCAACTATAGAAGTCTAAAATTTTTTTTTTTTCATTTTCCTTCTACCTTTTCTCTCTCTAACTCCAACCGACTACCTCTATTCCCAGATTCTAACTAATTGTCATCGTGTTTGCCGTCGGTTATCGTCAATCACCATTAGTTATCGGTGGCAAAAAAAAAAACTAAAATTACTTAAAATGTTCTTCTCAACCCCTTAAACATAAATCCAACCTTTGTTTTGCAAGAAACGACTTCGAATAGCATAGATCGAAGCCTAAAGTTTCAATTGAAATTTTTTTTTTGTGTTTTTAGCGCTATTGGTCCTCATTTCTCGGTGTTGTTGTTTCTGGGTTATTTAGTTTGGGATTTTGTTTTAATCCTAGGTTTTTATTTGACAGAATTTTTTTTTTAATTTGGCAGAACCTCTTTTTCTTATCTTCTTTTTCTTTTTGATTCTAGGGTTTTTTTCTTCAATTGGCTCTTCTTCTGTTTTTCTTGCAAGTTATAAGCTCTATTTAAAGAATTTTTTAGAATTCAAATATTAGATTTTCTGATATCAAATATCAGATTTTCAACCGACCTAATAGACTATTAGTGGCCAGCATCCATGTTGCTAAGTTAGGTAGGAGTATTAAGTGATTGCTGGTGACTGTGATTGTGGACTTTGGGGAGAGTGCATTTAATGCACCAAGATTTTGTCAAACAGATTAAAAAAAAAAAATAAATAATAATAATAAATATAAAATAGTGTTTACAAACACAACATAAATATATTAATTGTAATACTTTATATGACATGAATGCACAAATCATATGATGTAAATGTAGTTATTAAATTAATTCATTATTACAATTAATTTTCAAAGTGAAAATGCTAAATTCAATTTGCATTTCTTATTTATTTGGACAATTTGCAGTATTTGTTTTTTAAATTCAATTGAATAGGTAAGGAAATCAAACTAAATCCCAAGGTTAAGAATAAAACAAAACTTAAAAACAAGTCAATTCTATGCAAATAATTAATTTTAATTTTTTTTAATTTTGTGAATCAATCGTTTTTCAAACCAAAATTTAATAGAATATTAGTGTTCCGAATTAAATTTCTATTCTATCGGGTTTTTTTAGCTTATATAGTTGATGTAATTTGCAAATTTTTTTTATTAAAAATAATTAAATTCAAATTCAAATTCAAAATTAAAATTAATAAATTCAAAAAATCTTATTACATAAATCAAATATATAAAATTTTAACAAAAGTATATATTTTTCAAATAAATATTTTTAATAAAAATATTAACAAAATTTTATCAAATTTTAATTATAAATAAAATTTTAATTTTTTATATATTATTAATTTTCACATTAAACTTTATTAATCTATCAACTTAAATTTTTTATTAAATTTTTTTAAAAAAATAATATCTATAGGAAGATAAATTTGTGAAAATAATGGTAATTATAAAATAAAATAATATGGGAAACGAAAAAGATATACCTGAAGATCAAGTGGAGCAAGGTAAGGCAAATAATCCGATAGATTAAAAACTCCCGATAAGTGCATGGTCTCTTCAATTAGCAGCTTCAAGTCGAATCCATCATGCATGGAGCGTCCCAAAATAACTTTAGACATGATTTCTTCAATAAGCTCACCTACCTTTCTGCTAAGGTCCACCGTCTCCCCCGCCGCCGCTGCCTTCTTTATTGATTCAACCAACGACAGCAGCTCCGCCTTCCTTACCGGGGCAAAGTATTCAACTTTTGAAGCACTAAGGAGATGCAAAGTACACCACTTCCGAACAGTTCGCCAATAGGAACCGTACTGGGTAAAAGCCATGCCCTTTGCACCATACGACAAGTACTGCGAGGATTGGACTTTAGGCCTGCTAGCAAAAACAAGATCATGGGTTTTCAGGAATTGTTCAGCGGCTTGAGGTGAAGATACCACGATTGTTGGTACGTAGCCGAGCCTTAGTGACATTATGGGGCCATATCTTTTGGCTAGATGGTGAAGGTTTTGGTGTGGAAGCTTCCCTAGCATATGGAGGTTGCCGATTATAGGTAGGGCGCGGGGACCGGGTGGAAGTTTCCGGCCATTTTTGTGGCAGTTTGGTGGGGATAAGGTGGTGCGAAAGATGTGGATAACGGCACAGACAGTTCCCAGGAGGGCCAAGATTAAGGATAATGTTGAAGGAGACATTATGGGGAGGGGTGAGCCCGTTGCAATAACCCTTGGTGATTTGCTTATTTATTATTTTAAAATGCGTAAATGTATTCTGAATTTTTTAAACAATAATTGGTGTTGCCAGCTCAGCAACCCACGACCCACAACCCACAGCCCACTGCCACTCTTCCCGTCAGTAATAAATAAAGGTAAAATTATTGTTAGATTTAGATTTAACAATGGTGCATTTATATCAAATAAAATATTAACAATTTATATATAATTTTATAAAAAAAATTATATATAATACTTCATATCAAAATATTTTTTTATTTTATTAAATTCATATATAATTTTTATTAAAATTTTAAATTATATTATTTTTATATTTTTTATATTATTTTTATATTATTTTATCATATTATATTTTAAATTATTATATTTAATTATTATAAAATTTTCATTTTGCTAACTTAAATCAAATATGTGTAAGTTTTTAACAATGTTGTGAGTAATAAGAAGCTAATGAATATATTTTTCCAATATAAAAAAGTTAATGAAAATATTTAATAATAACTGTAATTTGAATTTACTAAGAAAAAAAAGAAAGATTGTTACTATTTTTATTTTTATCTAAAATAAATTATTTAAATTAAAAAGATTAATGAAAAAAAAGAGTGATTTTTTCATAAAAAAAATGGATACGTTAAGTGAGCATACTTACAAAATTATTTATCATTTTTAAAATTTTATATTTTTAATTTACAAAAATAAATAAAATAATATAATTTTCATTTTTTATTTTTAATCCTACCAAATAATAAGTAAAAATTCTTTTTTTTTTCATTTTACCTGCCAAGAATATGATAAAAAGAAATATATACTTTTCTATTTTTTCTCTTTTTTTCTCCAATATTTTATATTTTAATTTTTCTATCCACTAAAAATATTTGACAATAAAACAAGAAACCTTATCACTTATCGAAATCATACAATTTTTTTTTCTTGTCTTTTTTTCTACGATATGCATTCGGCCTGTATTTCAAGCCGCAGTACCCAACTTGTAGACTATGGTTTTGAAACAGACGCGACTTGTTTATTTTTTTTTTAATGTTTTTAAAAGTGCCATGAAAAATATGATTTAAGATTTTTTAATTTTTAACAAATTATTGTAAAAAAATGCTTATGTGAATTAAAATATCTAATAAATATGTATTAAATAATAAAAATATAGAGATATTAGGATAATAACAAGATAAGGGTTTTTTTTTTCAGGAAAGAAAAAAAAAATTCTATCTAAAAATAAATTTTGAGTAAAGGACACCTGAATTTATATCGAAATCAAATGAAACAGGTTGCAGACAAGTGCAAAAGTGATATATTTCATCAAGCGTATGGCTATATCGAACAAAGGCGTCAGACTCCAACCTTTAAATAGGACAAACTAGAAATTTGACAGCCTATTTTTGCTAAATCAAATTATTGTAGATTAGCTATATTAGTTGACATAAGCCTCGGATCCCATTCCTTGCACTTTGCATTAACGTCAATTCATCTGCCGTATTCTTCACGAGATTCAATTACAAGTATTTATAATTCGGTTTCATCTGAATTAATTGATTGATTTAATTTAATTTGATCAATTAATTAATTAATTATTATATTAATTTTGATTAATTAATAAAATAATTTTAGAATAATTTTAATTTTTGATGAATTTAATTCAAATTTTGAATTAATTAAACTAATCAAAAATTTAATTAAAATGTAAGAATTTTTAAATATAAAATATAAAATATGAAATGAATTATTTTATTTCATAAAATATTAGAGTTTTTAATATAATTTTTTGTTTTTGAATATTTTGTTAAATAATTTTATTTAGTTTGTTTAAAATATGATTTAATTTAAATATATTTATTATTTGGTTAACAAAAAATAATAATTAAATTTGATGGATTAATTTTTTAATTAATAAATTTGATTCAATTAATAAAAAATAATATAATTTAATTAATTTAATTTTTAATAATTTGATTCAAAATTAACAAAATCGATCGAATGAATACTCCAACTCCACTTCTTTATATTTTTTAACAATGTTGGAAAATGTTATTCTTATCTCATCCAACAACATTCATAAATGCACACCTACAAAATTAAGTATCCAATGTTGAATTGTCTCTGTTACATCAAAATCATTTGAATGTAATCCAAGGAAGAATACAAAATCAATAAAAACTGTAGATACTTCATTTTATTTGAAATTTTGAATAAAATTATTTTAAATTTTAATTAAAAAATAAAAAAATTCAAATATATAATAAAAAATACATAAAATGAATCACAGCTCCCTTTTAAAGGGTCTATTATACTTCTCATCCTGGAAGAAGAGAAAAGAAAAATTCATTACATGGAAAACAAAATCACTTTTATGGGCTTAAAAAGCTCATAAAGTGAAAAAGAAAATACATTATTGCTGGATTCAGAGTTTAGACATATAAAGCTCCCAGAACTGAAGGTGCCATAGTATCATTTTAAGTCTGATATAATAACAAAAGCAAGACATCTTAAGGAAGAAAAGTTAAAACCAGAGTTTCCAATTATTTTCTGTCACATCATAACGTCAGATAAAATTATCAAAATCACAGTTTGAAAGGCAATTGTAAAAATTCACAGGCTTCTTTTCAAAAAACCAAAGCCCCAGAATGGTAAATAACACCAGTAAAAGAGCATATTTAGTTTGCTTCTGCTTCTTTGGACTTTATGCTGAAGGTTGAGATAAGTTACAACTAGAGGTAAGTTTGAAAAATCAGTGTTGATAAAGGCTATGTAAGATGTAAAGGCATGATATAACAAATACCCATTATGTTCACCCTTTGGAAGTGGTCTCAGTTTGGCAAAAGACAAATCTGAGTCATTAAAAATCTGTCAAAGGGAACAGTTGGGGCAGAGGGGAGGGAAACATTAGCATTAGTCACACTAAAGAAAGAAAATTACCACAAGTACTTGCTTCAATGGAATCTTGTCATATGAGACTATGAACCAAATCATTAGAAAATTACCCACACTTTTCACTGAACTGAATAAAACTTTGGTTTTTCATTTATTAGGCATGAACTAATTATCTGTATATATATTGATGGAATCTTTAATCGATATCAATCAATAACTAAGCTCAGACACTAGCCTTTGCCAAGCAGGCTACTTTGCATATATCTATGTCTTTGACTTTCATAAGAAAATATTGATCTCGATGCTTAAACTAATGCGAAAGAAGCTTAAGGTAGAGAAGGTTTTGGATGGTTTATGTCATGCATTCAATGCTCTCTTCAAAATTGATGAAAGAAGACGTAAATTTACTAAGAATCTCAGCTTCCACTGTCTGCCATCGTTCCAATCAAAAGTAAACTAGCAGTGGGAACATGATCTAATAAGTTTCCATTATCAAGGCACTCTTGTTTGTTGTTATATTCTATTATTTTGTACTAGTTTCGTAGTCACATATTCATATTTAACATAGCAGTTTATAAAACAATCAGTTAAAAGTTTCAATTACAAAGCAAATCACAGCTAAAATCTAGGAAGGATAAGATATAAAGAATGGGGAATTAAAATTTAGGAAGCGATTAATGCTGGAGATTGATGAACTCAATTTCATGATTTTCTATGTTAATAGTCACCACTATACTACAAGGAACTTGTTGAAAAAATCAGTGCTAACAAATATTTTTAAAAAGTTTTCTTTTGCGAATATGAACAAACTCACTTGTGAGGTGCCTGTTTGTGGCTGACAAAGATTTCTTCCATAATAATGTGGAAGCAAATGCAAGGCAGTGTAAGACTAGTTTCCTTATGGTGCGAATGGAATGGCAATTTTCAAGCACATTTTCTTCCTCAGATTCTTCAGATTTAGGCTTTGCTGCAATTGCTGCTATAGCTTCATGCAAGTTGTTCAACTTTTCATCCAAACTTGGGTGGAGAATTCATCAGAACCACCAATTGCAACCTGCATTATTACCAAGATATGGCGAGGCAATCAAATCATGAGATTAAGGATTGAAAATAGTTCAATAAAAGAAGTACAACAAAAGACTTAAATTCAAAAGAAGAGAATGTTGTCTGAACATCTAAGAGTAAATCAGACCTTACTTTGAGCAAATGACAAGCTTTGAGCTTTCACAGTTAACACTGCATAAAGAGACACAACTGTTCAGTTATCAACACGGTTCCTGGCTTCCATCTAACCTACTTTTGGATTTTTTTGAAAAAAGAACACAACTCCATCAGGAAGATCATGGAGAGAAAAGCTGATTCCAGGGAATGAAATATTGCAAATATATCCTAGAATAGGGTCCAAAGCATCAAGAATCAAGCACAACAACTGTAAAATGGAAGACTTCAATAAAATGGACAGATAAAAATTTTTTCTTTAAAAACATACGAGTACAAATCACCCTGATGGGGGAAAGGGGGCAACAAACCTCAGCAAGCCCACTGATGAGTAGCAGCTCGATCCCTCCTCCTTAAGGAAGGATCCTTCTTCACACCCTCAGCAGGGTAAAGGTTCTCTGCAGGAGTATCACTTTTACCAGATTCAGTTAGTGTCACATTAGGATCACTCCTGGCTGACTCCTAACTAGATTCTTCATCCCTTGAAATTTGCTCAGATTTGACTTACTGGCTCATTCTGACAAGGTAAAAACCATGATAGATTGTAGCACAGGTTGTTTGCTGTCTAAGATAGTTCTACAAAAGAGCATTGCAGATCATGAGGATTTAAATAGCGTAAACACTTTGGATGAAGCAACTGCGACAACAAGCGCCTTCCACTCTGAAATTCGCCAATGTCAAAACAGAAACCTATAAGCTGTGCAGAATAACTAAAGATTGAATTAAAGTCTTAACAAAATGGAGGTCCACCAGGTTCTGTAGCTCCAACAAATGGCACAAATTTATGGATAAGATCCATTCTCTGAAATTCATTTCCAAAAAAGTAACATAATTATCAGAAATGGATCACCGAGAATAAAACACATATCTTGAAAATTCATTTATGAGATTTATATTGCTTTCTCATA